TTAGTGTATCTCTGTGGCAGAATTACAGTGCCACATACTGGTCTGGCATGTATACTACAGCGTTTTGTGTCGGTTTACGTCTCGCCCTAGTCAAGACATCGCTACGTCACGTAACAGCAACAAAAACATGAACAAACACTGAACGATTGTCTTTTTATTAACTAACATTAACACAGATTAATAAATATATTGTTCCATGTTTGTTTGTATACCGCGCGCAAGGTTTATGCGCATAGTCCAAGGCGCCTTCTCCGTTTTTAGTGTATCTCTGTGGCAGAATTACAGTGCCACATACTGGTCTGGCATGTATACTACATCGGTTTGTGTCGGTTTCGTGTGGACGCAGATATTTTTTGAGACGAGGGGGAAAAAAAGATCGGATAGGGAAAGCTCTGGCTTCGTGTGGACGTAGCCTGAGTAAATGATAACTTTTAGGGTGAACTATCCCTATTCTGCTTTAGTCAATATTAATCCATTGGTTAATAATAATATTTAATAATTAATTGTTCTTTAATTGTAATCTAGCTTTAATAATTGTCAGTCAAGAAATGCTGATACTAAATTCCGATTCTTTTCTTTCTACAGGAGTAGAAACCAGCTTAACATTGAAGAGAGAGAACACGGACGGCTCAGATGAATCAGCCGGTCGTGTGAATGGCACTGAAGAATTCTACCTCGAGTCCTCCAGACCACTCACATGTGTGGACAAGCTGGAAAAACAACTTTGCCTGAAGAGAAAGAAAGGCAGAGTAAAGATTTCCTCCAAGAGGACATTTTTAGAGGAGACCAGTTCATCATCACAAGAGGATGAGTTCACTGAGGAACCAGCGAGATGGAGCGTCGTCAGTTCCTTAGAGAGAGATGAATGGGAAGTGTCTCCTCTGACTTCCAATGAAAGGGGACCACATGTGGAGGTAAAGATCGAAGATGAAACCCAAGAAGAGCCTGAGAACTCTGCCTGGGGGCGACCTTTGACCTCTGTTGACTTCTCCTCTGATAGCACCGGTGAAGAGACCGAAAGCACGTCATTGATGTCTTTTCAGAGCCGCAGATCCAGCTCAGCAGAATCTCAGGGCTTGTCCAAAGGGCCCTCCAGCATGGTCCTCAAGCTGAGGAAGGTCTTCTACAATAAGGGCCGCGGGGGTAGAGTCACCCACTACCAGAAGGTCACTGATTCTTTGGAAGCTCCTGAACGGTTCAGACGCACAGACAGCGATCATTACAGAAAAAAGAAACACAAATCATCCCGGCACAAAAGGCGCCACAAGGACAGGGAGTTTTCTTTCAGTTCATACTCTCAAAGTCATCCATACCTCTCCAAAAAACATGGTTCCAAGCACCGACGCAGATGGGTCCTGCGCTCCGCTGGGCAGTCTGCCCATCTGGCCATGGAGAACAGATATCCTGACCTGGTGGGAAAGAGGATTCGGCATTTGTATGAGGAAAGCGACAAAACAGAAGTGTGGTACAGAGGAGTGGTGCTGCGCATCCATGAGCCACATACCAACCCACTGAAAACTGTATTTGAGGTCAAATATGATAGTGAGCCTGAATGGCAGTACTATCTTGAGCTGCTGTTAGACTATAAGAAAGGATGGTTGAAAGTGGAGGACTAAGTCTTGGCGGTATTAAAGTTTTTATTTTGCACCCGAGAACCGAATTGATTCGAAAATGTGAATATACTCTGAATTGATGAGCAGTGAAGCAGTCAAATGTTTATAAGTCTTGAATTATTCTTTGCGACCCAAAAACTTGACATAACATGACATTGTTGTATGTAAGCAGTGTATGTTCAGTTTCAACTCTCCTTTGTGTTTCTGGTGTCAATAATGTTTCAGTTGTTACTTGTTTAGTTGTTGCCCTTTTTATAATGTTGGCAAACATTCCCAGCAGGTGACATGTTGGTAACCTTGTTTAAGCTTTCCATGTAATTGAATGAAAGGGAATACTGTATAGCAAGATGTTTAACTGTTTACAGAATTATTTTTATATTGGCTGCTGTCATGTTATATACCTGACTTAACACCTTTGAAAAATTTAATTTATTTGGGATTTGCAAATTCATCATGAAGTGCTTTTTTTTTATTAAAACGTACAACACATACATTTTAAGAAAAAAAAAAAAATAGGAAATTGCAACTTCATGTACTACCATTCAGATGTAAGGTTTTTTTAAAAACGTTTTTGAAAGAAGTCTCAAGATCAAGGCTGTATTTATTTGATCAAAAATACAGTAAAAACAATAATATTGTGGAAAAATTGCAATTTAAAAGAACTTTTTATATATTTTAAAATATAATTAACTACTGATGGAAAAGCAGATTTTTTTAGCCGCTTGACTTCAGTGTCACATGATCAGAAAGCATGCTTATTTGTTGTTCAAAAATTTCTTTGAAATCTCGTGCTGCTTAATATTTTTGTGGAAGCCATAATACATTTTTTTCAGGATTTTTGAAGGTTCAGAACACTTCAGTGTCACATGATCAGAAAGCATGCTTATTTGTTGTTCAAAAATTTCTTTGAAATCTCTTGTGCTGCTTAATATTTTTGTGGAAGCCATAATACATTTTTTTCAGGATTTTTGAAGGTTCAGAACAAAAATTATTTGAATTAAAAATGTTTTATAACATTATAAATGTCTTTACTGTCATTTTTGATCCATTTAATGTCCTTGCTGAAGAAAAGTATCCTTTAAAAAAAACTTACTGACCCCAGACTTTTGATTAGTACTGTATCTCACATTTTGACTTTAACCTCTTAGTTACCTTTTTTATTTTTCTGAAATAAGTGGAATAAGTGGTTTCCTTGTGAACTTACAGATCAACTAAAAGTGAGAGGTCAAAAGTACAACAACAAAAAGTGATACGCTACAGAGAAATGTCAGTGATTTGTTCTACATCCCATTTGTCCTGTAGGTTTCATTTTCAAAAGAAATTGCAAAATATACTCTTAAATCTGGTTGCAAATTTTGCTGTCTTAACGCGTTTCTCACGGGGCACAGAGACAAAGACTAATTTAATCTCATATACCTGACCAATTCGAAAGCCCATGTTTTATTATCGTTACAGTTCTTCAGTTTAGACCAGGGGTGCCCAATCCCGTTAGAGAGCGACCTACCTGGAGAGTTCAGGTCCAACACACCTGCCTGTAATTATCGAGTGCTCCTGGAGATCTTAAATAGCTGGTTCAGTTGTGTTCGGCCAGAGTTAGAGCTGAACTTTGCAGAAAAAAAGAGCTCCAGGAACAGGATTGGGCACCTCTGGTTTAGATGAATCAGTTAAGATTGGTCTCCCTCTGGTGGACATTTACATTGTGAACATTAAAATCCAACTCTCAAATGTCTGTCATGACATCCATGTGATTTATTTGTGGATTAATTGCATTAATCCTTTGGATGAGATCCTGTTTTATATAAAGCATAAACATCTTCTAGTGTTACTGACAAACAATCCAAAGCAACAAAAACCCTAGATGCGTCAAACACACAGGCTTGAAATAAACACAAAAGCACACAAACTAAAGCAATGTGCAACATGTTGCACTTTAATATTCGTTTTCTTCAAAATGAACAACTAATTTCTTACACATTTGTACACTATGTATATAAGAAATCAAAAAAATTGAATCGCATAAAGAAAGGATACATGTAGAAAAGTATTAAAAGTTTTTGGATGTCTCAACAAAATGACAGTAGCTGCTTTTTGTTACCATGAATGTTCAAATTGGATGCTCATGAACTTCCTGACATGATCAAATAGGCGTAACTTAATAGCAGTGGCCGGAAGGGGACAGGTAAACACTAAGCTGCATTCAGTGGCAGTGTATAACCATTCCATATTTTGTAGATCACACCGTGTGTCCCATTGTAATAGAAACTACAGGGACCTACAAAGTAAACAGCCACACTTTTTTCCCATTTCTTGTTCTGCAATATGCTTGCATGAAATGTATGTTTATACCTGGAAGACCCTCTCAGCAGTCATCCACGGCATATTACAGACTTGAATAAAAAAAAATTGCATTCCAGAAATCATTCCCAGCACACACAGCAAAAGGATTAACAGGCAACAATGCAAGAGAATGCTATTACTTTGAATGAAAAATGCATTTTAGGACATTTATTTTCATGGAGCACATTTGAAGTACAAAAGAAAAAAAGGAAGAAAATAAAGCCAATATATCAGTCTCACTTCCAGCAGAAAGCGAGGGGGGGGGGGAAATCACCAGTTTGAGACTGACACTTTGGTGTTGTCTGAATATGCCAACTTGATCTGCAATGACTGTCCCACCTGTGTCTATCCCAGAACCCCACCTCTGTTCCCCTGAAGACAGGGTGTCAGTGCTTCAATGATGGTCACGGAGCATCCACACACAATTTGTACAATTTTGCATGAACAAAGTGTACACAAATGCAACATCACAGTACAAAGGTAACATCACATATTCCCTGCAAACTATATCATCACTCAAACGGCCCTTTGGAAACCATTGCGGGTGCAAACGTGATTATTTGACACGAAAAGAATTAAAGCGGTGTGGAACCTCACAGCAGAGATAACCGTGGCTTCCAACTAGCTTTGCGGTGTGCAAAAGAATCGATCATGTGGAAAATGCCTAACCCTGTTTGTCAATGGCTCAGTCAGAACACTTGACTACAGATGTCAAGAAAGCAGCTCAACAGGCCCATCAGTACAATTTCATCTACGTACATGTTGGGCGGGCAGAGAAATAACCTCGAGCCGGGGTCGGGATCGAAGAATGAACTTCAGAGAGACAAAAAGAAAAAATATAAAAGATTATGAGTGAATGTCACTCAGTTTGGCTCTCAGAAATTATTCATATAACTCTTAAAATCATATTACGATTCTTAATACTCCTGGGAGGAGGGAGGAGAATAACAGCAAAGGAGGCAGAGCACAGGAAACCACTGTTCTGTTTGAAAAGTTTGAACTCTTGGAAGAAGCAGCGAATGTTAAACTACCCTCATTTCCTCCAGGAGGGAAAAGATTTCCGAGGGCAAGATCTCACAATGCAAGCAAAAGGAAGATATTTTGCCTTTTTGTTGGATTTCTCAGTCTTGCGCTTCACGCTGCTAACAATACTGTTGAACATGTATTATTTTATTTTTAATATTCTAACTTTTTCATTTAAATATAATTTATTCTTATGCTTTTCTTGAAACAAAAATCTGGAAAAATTATGCAATGCAGGGCGGTTTGCCAGGGAGGCGGCAGCGGAGGTCTGTGCTGCTCATTTGTCATTGCATCAGAGCTATAGTGGGTGGAGTTTGTCTCCAAGAGTCTGTGGTGTGGAGATGTAGCCTCAATCCTCGATGTACTCCCACAGGTCTTTGTCATAGCCTTCATGTACGTGTTGCAGCAGCACTCTCCGTCTGCTCTCACAGTATCTGCACACAAGAGCATCAAAACATGGACTGTTATAAACAAAGAGACGCATGCAAAAGTTTCCTGTAAAGTATGGACATGCTTGAATCCATGGAAATGCACTTTGAATGAAATAAAAGTTGTTTTATGTCAAGGGTTTTCAAACTGGCCAGGAAGGGCGCTAGAAGGTCTGTGGAAAATGTAAGAGATTGTTTTATTTTTTTCAAAGTTCATTTTTTAGGGCCGTCCAAGTTAACTTAAGCATTAAATAATAAGCTTTATTTTTAAATCTTTAGTTGATAATTTATTTTCAAGCTTTTTTTTTTTTGTCCATACAATGAAAGTCAAAGGGAACAGAAACTGTTTGGTTGCCAACATTCTTCAAAATATCTTTTTTAAAGAAAAATAATAAGCTTTATTTTTAAATCTTTAGTTGATCATTTATTTTCAAGCTTTTTTTTTTTTGTCCATACAATGAAAGTCAAAGGGAACAGAAACTGTTTGGTTGCCAACATTCTTCAAAATATCTTTTTTAAAGAAGGTCCTACAGGTTTGGAACGACGTAAGGTTGAGTAAATGATGACCATTTTTATTTTTGGGTGAATTATCCCTTTAAAGAAAATGTGTACACTTGCCTGTATTTATCTTGTACTTTCTGCTTAATGTCCTGCAGAGAATCTTGGGAGATGTCTCGTTCCAGGTATCCAGACAGAACCTCTGTAGCATTCTCCAGATCTGCCTGGTTATTCTGGGTGCAAACACAAACCACGAAACATTTAACATGACATTATTCATGTTTTTACAACACAATCCAACCACCTTTTCAAAAATGATTATCACTGGTTTACCTCGAAGATGATAGACTGGTTGTTCTTCTTGAGGTAGAATGCAAAGACGTAGGTGAACATGAGCGTGGAGCGGCACTGGCACAGCACGTCCACGGCCTTCTTCAGGAACTGCACCTCGATCCACGACATGTTGTGCTGCTGCATCTCCTCCATCTTCTGTTTGACCTGGGCGTACAGCTTGTGCTCGAAGCGCAGGCTCTGCATGTGGTTCATGTAGCGGTTGCAGTAGAACAGGTACCTCTGCAGGGCTGCTCTGGAGCGCTGAACAAAACGCACAAACATATGAAAGGTTTAAAAATGGGACTACAATTTGCATGTTCAGCACGAATGGACTGACATTATTTACCTCTTGAGCATCCCGGGCTGCCTTGGCATCATCCTCGTTATAACGATTACAGTTGTACCTTCGAGTAAAAACACGTTCAAGAAAAAAGTTAAATTAGCCAATAATGTTTTAGACATCAATAAACAAATGTAAAATAAAAATAAAAAAGCTGAACGAGTCACTCTAGGTTTTCCAAAGTGATGTTTGCAAGTGATCTGTAAACGGATGACTCTATGGAACAAGGAGGAGGAGAAAGCTAGCCTTTGAGCTCTCGAGTTTAAGTGGGACCTGTTGATCAAAGATGTGCATATGAAAACGTTGCCTTGGGAAAAGGTAGAAGAGTAGCATTTAGGTTTACCTTAGAGAGAATTTAGGGAATTGAAAGTCACATTTGACTGGTGGATAGTTCTATTTAGGTGTTTGGTTCATAAAGCTTACACAAATACTTCAACCACAGAAATAAAAATAAATTTATAGGAACCCAAATTCCTAAAAATTCATTTGTGCTTCTGTGTTATAAGTATTTGTGTAGTATTTCTAAACCAAACCCCTCTCCCCTCTTGTTAGCTTATGAACAACTGTCAATCCACATTAATTCAAAAGCTTCAAGATTCAAATTCAAAAGCAGACAACTTACAACAATCCTGCAAGTGGCGAACTAACTAACTAACTAACTAACTCTTATTTTTAGGGTCTTAAAAAAAAAAAAGAGAGAGATTATTTTTATTTATTTATTTATTTATTAAATCTTGTAACATTAAAAAAAACATAATAAAAGAAGGTTAGTGGATTGCCAATTGGGAGCAAATTTGAGTAGTTATGTGATAATGACAAATTGATATTAATTGCAACCCATAGGTGTAATTAAACTTTAATTTTAAAAAAGTCATTTAATTTTTGTTGATTTATTATAATTCCATGTAATTTTATTGCATGTATTTAATATTAAAATTATTTTACATTAAACTATATTATTCATATTAAATGATATCCTGCCTTTTGTTTGTTAGTTTTTTTGTTTGTTTTTTAACGCCATGTAAGCATCGGGAATATTTACATGGCAAAAACAAGGTCAGCATCATAATCCATACAATTTTTAATTGTTATATAAAACATTTTAACTTGACATAAAAAAATACATTCAGGTGATATATTACGAAGCGTTTTCTGGCAGTATTATAAAAATTACAGTCCGACAGGATGTGTTTATATCTTGCCTTTTCATTTTACAGGATATTTGTAATATCAACTCTCTGTATATACTATATACAGTCACTGTATATACTAGACCTTGTTACTTTTTTTCAGATGTCTGGCAACTCTTTACTCATGAAGAGAACAAGTTTGTGTGAGAGAAAGTTTCAGAAGAGAATGGAAAGAGAGCAGTACGCACACTGAAAATCAGCTATTGTTTATGTCGACTGGCTACGAGTTATTTAATAAAGTGGTTTGAATTAAACACCTTGTAGACGCTGAGTTTTTCATATTTGCTATACTATCATATATGCTCAAGTTTTCAGCATTATAAAAATGTGATCAGCAAGTTGAGAGATCACGTATCGAATCAATGAAAGTGATTATTAGCTGGTTCCGGTCAGTGGCTAATCGTTAGGAGTCATAGAAACGAAAGGTTTTCTGGATCCATATTTGACCTCAAAGCATAAGTTAATCAGGTTGGAAGTCACTGCAATACACAATCCTTGCAGATACATACTTCAAAATGCATACATTTTCAGCTGTTAATATGAAGTCTTTACAACCTTAAACAACCAAACACCTGGACCTACCAAGCAGAGCCATGTGGCTCCCAGGGCCCCAGGCAAACCCAGCAGAATTCTGCTTTGCAGTTCTGGTTCCGGCACACCATATGGTTGCAGCCACCATCTTTCTCTATGGTGACGTGGCATTTTGGACATTCCTGCAACACAACAGGAAGGAAGTTATTTTTCTGGGTCATCGGAAGACACAGGGAAAAATTTACCACATCAAAATGAGTCTAACCACTGACCTTTGTATTTGCTGCAATCCAGTTTGATGTCTCACTGTCATCATCACATTTTTTAATCCATTTCCTTAACCACTGGGAACGAGAGGTAAAATAGCATCAGAGGACATACAGGAAACAATTCACCATAACAATTAGGACAACTAAAAAGTGAGGTACACGTGATAGAATATTATATAAAAACATGTACAAGAGCATGGAGTTGTGTAAGTGCTTATGAAGGGTTAAATGTTCTCTCTCAGTGGAAGATGATTGTAATGCCCATATGAGAAGCACAAGGGACTAGAAGCTTCCTTTGTTTTTGCCAAGACTACCCCCACAATAACAAGACAAGTCTCTGAAGAGACTCTTAATGCTGAGAGTAGGAGAGGTGGCAGTCTGCTAGCTTTCTTTGTTCAGACAGAAAAACACTTGCCATACCAAATCAACATGATCCCCTGCTTTCTACTGAAATTACTACACTTAAAATGTGCATTAGTTTTTTTTTTTCAGAGCAGTCCTTAACATATTTCAGAATGGATGTCTATTAATGGCATTGGAATGGGGCATTCTACTCATTTTGCCTCAGTATTTAGAGAGAATGGGTGTTATGCACATACAGGGTTTTGAGGTTCATATCAATGTAGAGAAATTAAATAAATAACGGTATTTATGGAAAAGTATGGTCCAGGTTTGTCAGCCAGAAATAACGGCCAAAACTGTGCTTAACTGTGAAAAACACAGAAGGCATTGTTGACAATGAAAAGCTTCAAAAATCATGTACAATGACACAAAACCATGACTCGACATATTTATATATAAACACTGACAGCATTGTTGTACAATTTCAGTTGGTCTTAAAGATTTTAAACAGACAATGTTGCCTCAACACACCTTACACTTCACTGGATCGTGCCAATTTTCTCCACAGTTGAAGCTGCAAAATAATTGAAAACATTAGCATTCTCTCATCAAGCACAAATATCATGAACACAAAAATCATTTGATCTCTTTAAAATTATATAATATATAATACAATTATTTAAAAGAAAAAATAATATTATTTCACAATATTACTGTTTTTTTACTGAATTGTTGATCAAATAAATGCAGCCTTGGTGAGCATAATATATACATACATATACATAAAATGACTCTTTGCTCTAATGGCTCTAATGAGTCTTTGCTTCCCAAAATCAACAAGTAGCTGTGAAGGCTGGATAAGATTACCAGTGCCATCTAGGGAACATGTCTCCTGGGTTCTAGTGTCACTGGCTTGATCAGGTTTTTCATGAGCTGGTGGAAGCCCTAAAACTGATCTGAGGTCACGTTCCAAAAGTATTTGATCTCATTAGGAGTTCAGTGTCTTACCAAAACTGCCGACCACACTTGCACCGTACAGGTTTGGCATCTGGGTACTGTACTTTGACAACGTGATGACAGTCAGGTGCTGGGCACCATTTTAACAGTCGGTTACACTGCAGAGGAAGAGAACAGAATAAACCAAATTGACAAACCAAAAATCACAAGTGAAACAACTGAATGCTGATGATTCATTTTTATCAAGCATTATTTGATCAATGTCTTGTTTCAATAAACTTTATTTTAAATTGGCCGATATCTTAAACTTTTTATTTATTTGCAGGTTTAAAAAAAACAAAACAGATTTTCTATGTGGTATCAGACTTTTCGACCACACTATATAACAGAATGGAATTAAATCATACCTCTACAAAACTATTGGTTATTAAATGCTGGTACTTCAACTTCACTTTTGAATCTGTAATCAGTCGCCTGTTGAAATAATTGAGATATATTTAGTTCACGGAAAAACAGACATACATGCTTAAATCCTATATTTATTTTCCACCAAAGGGCACAAAGTGCATACAAAAAGATCAGACCCTGTACCTGCATCACAAAAGCAGCAGGGAGATCATATGTAGGTTAAGACAGCTGTGCATATCCCAAATAATCTAATTGAATCGACAGGATGTGCAGTGTTGTGACTCATACCTCCAGCAAGACAGGGTAACAGAGTGTCCTACTTCTGACTAGGAATAAACACTATCAGCTCATCTAGGATAGCCAAAATATACTTCAGGACACTGAGCTAAGAATAATGAACTCAACAAGGCTTTCGTACAGTATATCACAAGCAATGGTGACGTGAGACAGAGACCCTATAAGGGAGTGGAGATAGACTACTCTTAGAAAAATAAATGGGAGAAATTTTAATGATGTAATTCTTTAAACAATTTCAATACTGCGATTAATATATTGTTGTTGTTTTTTTTAAACCAACTGCCTACATAAAAAGTGTGGCGGCAGAGAGAACTTACTTTCCTTCAAAAAACACAAAATAATTTACTTAAGTCTTTCTATAAATATTCCTTTCTCAAACACTTACATGACTGTGCTGTCATCCACCAAAATATCACAGCTATGAGCAGGACAAGAAATGGTCTAGAGCGGAAACAAACAAGCTTGTGTTACAATAGGTCAGAAAAACAGACAAAATGTCAGTTGGCACAGAAAAAATCTGCTATAGCCAGTATGAATAGTTCAATACCTAAACATGAAATAGCTGCAACATGTACATCAGCCCATCAGATTGACAGGCTGCTACCTCAAGCGTATTTGCGTGTGTGCTCTCCGAAGAGCATTCACAGTGTAAATGCAGTGGCTGCAAATTGTTTATAATATTAAGCAAGCAATATTGACACTGCTATTTACTTTTTTTTTCCAAAGACAGTTAAATTCACAATTACAAGCAGATTTAGCAATTACAGATATATATCATAGTATATATCATAGTTTCCACAAAATGTAAAAAAAAATGTAGTTTTCAACATTGACAATAATAAGAAATGTTTTTGAGCACCAAATCAGCATATTAGAATAATTTCTGAAGGATCGTGTGACACTGAAGACTGGAGAAATGGCTGCTAAAAATTCAGCTTTGTCATCACAGGAATATATTACATGTTAAAATATTAAAATACAATTTTATTTCAAATTTTAATTTCACAAATATTGCTGTTTTTACTGTATTTTTAATCAAATAAATGCTGTCTTGGTGAACATAAGAGACTTCTTTCAGGAAAAATAAATAAATCTTACCGACCCCAGACTTTTGAAATGTAGTGTATACCGGTATTATTAATTTTGTTTACTACTCTAACTTTTTAAATAAAGGGGTGTTTGTATTAGTTGTTTCTGTGGCATTGTGAATCACAAAATTTCACTGGTATTAGAAACAATTACTGAAATTTTGGTATCATGACATCAAAGGTTCTATGTACTAAGAGTTGGAATATGTACCTGTCCCATTCCTTCCTCTATGATTTTGGTGGTTAAGTAATCACCCCAGCACTGCATGCAGAACTTGTGCCCACATTCCAGACCAGTGAAGTACTGCAAAAGAACAACCAACACCAAATCCACATTTAGGGAAAGTTACAATTAATTTTATTTATTTATTTATTTAGTCATTTAGCAGACGCTTTTATCCAAAGTGACTTACAAATGAGGACAATAAAAGCAGTCAAAACTAACAAAAGAGCAACAAGACAAGTTTTGGTTAGCCTAACGCAGTACACGTAGCAAGGTGTGTATATATATACAATGAGAGGTAGAGTTGAGTGTCATCAGCATAGCAGTGATATGAAAAGCCATGTTTCTGAATGACAGAACCTAGTGATGCCATGTAGACAGAGAAGAGAAGTGGTCCAAGTACTAATTATACAATTAATAACACAAGCAACTTCTAAAAACAGTGTAAATGTCCATTTCCAATAGTCAATAATAAATGTAATATATTTCTTCTTTTAGGGTGGATCTTGCAACAGTGACTCAATAACTCAGTAACACAGGATACAAATAACAAACACCGAAAAACATTAAACCAAAAAAAGCAATGAAACAAATCCTAGCTAACAGCTATCCAGTGTTGGGTGCCCATGAAACACAATGAGCCTTGTTGTTCTCTTCAACAGATCGATACAACCAACAAGACTGTTTTTTGGCTCAGACAAATCAGTTCTGAGCAGGTGACAGAAGAGTCAGTCGTAGTGATTATCTACCGCTCCTACAAAGCATCCCTTTGTCATGCGTTTTACAGTCTCAGGCCCCCCGGTAGGAAATGCCTGGTTCTCTCTCTTGGGACAACAGACAACGTGGCAAGAACAAATCAGCTTAATATTTGTGGTAGGACTGACGCAAGCAGAGCATTGCTTACAACAATATCTCAAGTAGTTTAACAGCACTGTGCAGCGCTAATGGTATTTAGGGAACATCTCATGGGAACTGAGTGGTGGTCAGCTTTATGAAGCAACACATTAACATCGAAATGACAATTTGACATCAGGTCAAACTGAATGTCCTAGTAAACCGATACTTTAAACACATCCACAATCTGATTAAAGCTCTTAGTTAAGCAGAAATCAAACTGATAAGTTTGCTGTATCGTGTGGCCCCAACTGATCCTTTGTTTTAAGCAGACAAGCCGTGAGGCAGGGACTTCCTGGTTGACGCTACAGTTAAATAGTTCATAGTCACGATTCAAAGCAATAAATAGAACAGTTTCCAAATCCCTGCTGCTTAATCCAGAGTTTTCTTTCAGACAGTTGCTGGCTCTCATGATAAAGCTGATCAAAACAATACATGCATGCATGCACGCATGCCATCCTTTCACTGACACACACACATTTCTCAAGGTTCCCTGCAAATCCGAAGACCCGCCTGTTCCTCTCCTCAGTTGCTTGGTATACAATATGAGTAATCCAGTGAAGAGCTTAATGGTGAAAGGAACTCATTAGAAATCCTTCCTGCCCACTGAGACACTGTAGCGTGTAGCACAGAGTGGCAAACATGAAAACACAGATGTCAAAATAATACTGCATACCACTTTCACATATCCCACAACGCAACAGCATCCCGTCCAAGTGGTAAACAATCTGTTCATACTGCCATGCGATTCAACAGATTCACTGAAACAACCAGGCACAGATGGAATCTGCAGACGTTGCATCTAATGCGCCGATTTTCTGAGGAAATATACAGAATTCTGTAGAATGGATGTAAATACATTAAATACACTACGGTATAATTTGGGGTCTGTACATTTTTAAAGGAACGAATGCAAGGATGCATTAAATTAATCAAAAATTACACTTGCAAAAAAATCCATTTTCAATTGTTGCAAAAAATCAATTTCAAATAAATGCTGTTCTTTTAAACTTTTTAAGCAGTAGAACTGTTTTCGAATGTGAAAATAGTAAGAAATGTTTCCTGAGCATCAAATCAGCGTATTAGAAGGATCATGTTACACTGAAAACAAAATAAACTGTGCCATCAAATGAATAAATTACTTTTTTAAAGTATATTAAATTAGAAAAAGGTTATTTTAAATCGCATTTTCTGACAGCACAGAATTAGCAACTCAAACATAATAATAACACTGCACAATATTACTGTTACTATAATGTATTTTTGATCAAATAAATGCAGCCTTGGTGAGCATAAGAGACCCCCAAATGTTTGAACAGTAGCATATGTTAAATGGAGCTGAGAGTACTACACTTTTTATTGGCTGAAAGTATAATCAAATTAGCCATAATGTCTAATAAAGAGCATTCCAAGGGAAGTGAATGTGCAAAACTCTGTGAATGACGGGCACAGATTCCGTGTGAGCCTGCTAATAAGCTATCAGCACAGCAGCCATGTAAATGGATTAATCAGAGGCAACGAAAGCATTTCGGCTGGGGGGCACTGACCGAGTTAGGATAGTTGAGATAGCAGATCTGACATGGCATGTCCTGTGCCGACGATCTTGTGTTCATGAGGCGTGTCCGAGACTTCTTGCTGGGGTTTATAACGTGACACTCTGAAAATAGCTTGTCCAGGTTACCATCAAAGTACCTGCAAAGAGGTAAACGGTAGATTTTTCTCAAAATTTGTTGTTTCAGTATTGAATAAAGACAGGTGCTAGCTGACTAATAATTTGGTGGAAGGAAATAAAGCACACAGAACAATTACCTTTCCATCAGCTTTTCTTTGTCCCAGTTAAAATGACTAAGTAATATTCTAGTGATTGTAGCAGGATTCTGTAACAAGAGAGATACATACGAGAGATGCATACAAGAGAGGCATACATTTTTTTATTACATCGAGAAAAAAAAAAGACAAAGCAAGCATATTTATTCATTTAAAATTTAGTATGATCACTTATTCTTTTAAATATTTTAATATGTACAGGTCAGAATAATTATGTTGTTTCGTTTTTACATAAATATATCTGTTACGCTGAATGATGATGGAACATTATTTCACCCATATTTTGATGGGGGGTTTTTTTCACACAAGTCATTTGAAACAATTAATTAGGCACTTTACTTGCATTTAACATGCTTTCTGTGTATATAAAATCACTTTTGTAAACTTTATTTGATGCTGTCAGCAAAAAAGGTCTTTGACCTATATATATATATATACACACACACAATTATTCAGTTATACCTCTGACTACCATAACACACAAAATAGAAAATATTAATAAACTACAAATTTAACTAATATCCATTTAATGGTTAAAATCACCAGTTTTTTTGCTTAAATTATGGCTAGATTAATAATTTGTCAAGGAAACACTTGATATTGATTACCGCCATTATTATTATGTGACAAATGACTAATTAAAGCCTAAATAACTGCTAGCTGGTGTCATGAACAACACTCCAAAGAGCAGCAATGATGTGATTTCCACTGTGTTTAGACAACAGAGTTCCTCCTTGCCCGTCAGGGAGAGAAAGCCTGAACTACAGTACTCCAAAAAGGTTATTTGGGCTGACATGTCAAAGGAGCATATTGACAGGCAGTCCAGAGGGATGCTGGGAGACGTGACCACCCTAACTCGACGTTCCTCAACTAAACCAAAGTCTTCTTTCCGTTCTGTTGAAAATGTAAGGCAGGTCTTCTAGAACAAGCTTGAACTGTACTGGGACAAACACAGCAGATACTCTTAAAATAGAAACATATAGGTATGAAGTGAGCCACAGCATTAAACACTTCAACTTATCACAGTAACAGCATGTAAACATAACAAAATGCATTTGCTGACGGCACAGAACGAGCAAATCTAATCAATTAGCACACAATCTGGAAATTAACCAGCATAAACTAAACAAAACAAAACTGCGGGACGCAGAGTGAAATGTCGAGCTTCAGGAGACAGTTAATACTCCAAACAGCCTGTGGCTATGACACTGCAGCAGAAAGCAAACATAAATCATTACTCAAATTCACTTTGCTGGGCTATTTTAGTGCTCTTTAATCAAACATAACCAACCATGATGAAGCATAGGCTCCGCCATGTTGTTGTCGGGAGCAACTAGGTAACTCTCACATGCTAACGCGACCTACCCCATATCCCTGCTTAACAGACGACGACGAAGACACCTTCTTCTTCATCAGACTAGCAACAACCTCCCCTGAAAACCTATGAACACGTCGCAATGTAGTCTCTGGTGTACTTAAATTTGGGTTGTATGCTCGTGGTTAGCTTACTAAGCTAGTGTGACCAGGAATAAGGGGTTCTAATAAAAATGGAGTGATTTACAATATTATTATTTTACTTTATATGTGACGTGGGTTGTCATATGTTAAAATGCAAACATTTTGGCAATACAAATGTAGTTTTGTTTAAGTAAAGCGCATATAATGGGACTTAGCGGTCTGATTTTGTATGCAGGTGAACTAGAAGCTAGTTAAGCATCTTATGTCATTACTGGATGTGTTAAGGACAGGGAAAAGGCTAGGCTGACGCAAACCTTCTCATTCATATCTGTGATCATGACCATATATTTATCTTGTCGACGTACCAACGATGGTTTTAAAATCAGTTTGGTTCAAAGGACAGCTGATGCATTTTTCATGTCTCTCGTGTTGTCAACTGGGGGCAAAGTTTCCCAGAGCAATGTAAAAATCTCCTCTTTTGTTATAACGATTAATCCAGGGTGATCTAAGCTCAGGGGAAGCCCTAAAAATACTTACCTGGATGACCTCGTTGACCTCCCTGATACACTCCACCATATGCTGCAGGATCTGTTCGGCGGTTAGAACTTCAAAGCGGTAGTCTTCCTCATCCTGACCGGGCCCGAGGCCGCTGCCTCCCGTCTCCCCGCAGTCGTCTCGCTCTCCGCCGGCCACAACGGGATCAACCAACTCCACCTCACCGAGCTCCAGGGTGTCGTCCGCGGTCTCCTCTTCGCCGCTGTCTTCGCTGCATTCCTCTTCCTCGTCGTCGAATTCGTAATTGTAACCCTCGTCCGAGTCCATGACTGGACTGCGTTTAATGTAGCGACACGCCAAGTGGGATATGTTTGATGTGTATTATTTGGCAGACAGAGGTGTATTATTTGGCAGACAGAGCAAAACAAAACGAGAATACTTCTTTAGCTTGTTAGCATTCCAGCTTTTCTAGCAGCAGAGAAAACAACAACAGAGGAGCGACGCTGCTGCTGGGCCAACAAAGAGACGCAGCGTCACGGGCCGACGCTGGGTGACGTCACGTGCGTGACACAAAACAAGACTTAAAATAAAGTTGTTTGGCTGCTGCTCAATTAAAGTGTTTATGTGCTATCATATAACGTTACTGAATTTCTTTAAAAATACATCAAAAAGATAAAATACATTTATATTAATGACGAAGTAAAAAAAAGTATGTTAATCTACTTTGTATATGTTCAATGTAACATTTGTTTTACTATTGTTTCTGTTGAATATTGTTCTTGAAAAATTTTGGGGAAAAAATACTGGAATAAGACTGGGATGTGTGGGAAGGATTAGTGTATCTGATGTGATATTTTATTTTAAACATGACATGTTTAAATAAACATGCCCACTGCTCTGGGTGTGTGTTCACGGTGTGTGTGTGTTCACTGCTGTGTGTGTGCACTTTGGATGGGTTAAATGCAGAGCACTAATTCCTAGTATGGGTCACCATACTTGGCCACATGTCACGTCACTTCACTTCACTTCACATTTTGCATTGAAAATAAATACATAGTACAGCTGTTAATAATATTTAGTAAACATACATATAACATATAAGAAAAAAAATAGCCATTTTACAAACCAAATTTCACACATTTTATAAATGAAGTTGTATCATAAGAAAAGTTAAAGGAAAAAAAATCATAAAATCATTGTATTGTGGCTTTGTATAAATATTTACATCTGTGTTGTTGTGGCATAGTTTTTCTCTCTACTTTCTCTTTTTATTATTTATTTATTATTATTATTAATTTGTCCTGTAAATTAATCGCAATTTTACACATTTAAAAAATATATTTTAAAAAAGGTTCCTTCAAAACAGTTTAGGGAAAGGAGCCATATTTGTATGGATTTTGGTTCACATTGTACATGCCCTTCCTTATACAACTGTTGAACAGAAGAACATTACAACTAGTGTCTTAATAATACGATAGATAGATAGATAGATAGATAGATTATATGTTATGGTAGCAGAAATAATAAAGCAGGTCAGTATTAAAATCATAACAGACCGGACCTGTTTTCTGTGTGGTGGTGGCTCTTGGTATGATCTTTTAAAAGTATGCAATTCTTTCAAATTTAAACACTTACCGCCTAACTTACTAAAAGCTCATTAAATAGAAAAGGCTAAATGAACAGCTACATCTAACGCCTATATAATGGTCTGGAAAATCCTTCTGCCTGCTCTTGCGTTGTCCAGTAACTCAAAGAGGCGGAACCGAATAAAAGGAAAGTGTTTTCTACCGAACACATTTCGAACAAGAACGCGTTCTCCGGTTGCCGTGGCAGCAGCGACTTCAGGAAGAACGTTCGGGCGATACATGATGGATGCTCGAGAGATAGGTAATTAATTGTTAAAAAATATTCATAAACTTTTGAATTGAAAATAAATCCTTGACCACAAATCCAGTCGTTTGATTGTGCACTGCCGTCCTGGCGTCTTTAAAGCTCCAGTGGGCCAGCCATGCACCTGCACTTCTACTAGCTAGCTTACGGAAATCTGGCAGACTAGTTTCATAATTGTGATCGGATGTGTAACATGTGTTCGCAGGAAAATAAAAATGCTAGCTGTGTTTTTGTGACCTTATTTAAACATCTCTATATTAACTTTCTATAAAACCCTAAAGATCTGCTGGGTGTCAACGAGAACATAGTTGAAATGCAGAATTTGGAAGAAGAGGACTTTGCTGTTTCAAAGTAAGTGATATCGTTTGTTTTCTTTAGTGAAAATGCGTGGAACTTTATCGAATTAATTTACACTTTTTCTTCTTTTATCCATAATATTTTGCCTCTCCAGATCATCGGACGCTGATGCAGAATTTGACATGATTATTGGGAACATCGAGGATATTATAATGGGTATTTATATGCCTATTATTCTATTAAATCATCCACAGTCACTTATGACAACAACTGTTAATCTTTAATATAAGGTTTTAGTATTCATCTATAATAAGTGTGAATATCACATAATCTGTCAAGAACATGTCCCTGTTAATTTTGGTGGAAAATGTACTTAATATACATTTTTTAAATTTGTGTATGCAAAACGTAATTTAGTTTTCTTTCTTTATTTTCTTATGGTTTGGGATGAAACGAGACCTGGACATGCATTCATGCAATTCACCCAACTGAATTATAACGGACACATGCGATTTTCTTCACAGAGGATGAATTCCAACATCTTCAGCAGTCTTTCATGGAGAAATATTACCTTGACTTTGATGACTCCGAGGAGAACAAGCTCAGCTATACAACTATTTTTAATGAATATGTATGTGGTATTTTAAGCTTTATTTTATCACGTTTATGACCCTTGTAAAGATGGAAATACTGTATTTAACTGTCATTTACAAAATTTTGCTATCTCAGATTGAAATCCTAGAAAAACAACTGGAACAGCAGTTGGTGGAGCGAATTCCTGGATTCAAAATGGATGTCTTCACCCATTCACTTAAGTATGCTATATGAATTCATCTCTTTTTCTGGGCCTGAGTATAGTGATCAGGCTTGACGGTGACTGACAGTATTTCTTTTACACTGACAATATCATGTATACTGTTAAATATACAAAAAAAAAATTCAAAGTAAACAATATAGACAATAGCAATTCAGTCTTAAAGGTGCAGTAGGAGATCTTGGAAAATGCTAACTTTAGCCTGATAGCACTGAAAGCGAACGTCCCACCCTCCCTGCAATCACCGTCCAAAGCCACGCCCCCTGAACGCATTTACGCTCACAGACCAGAATACCAGAGACAACATTACTACACTAACAGAATATACAAATACATTTAGACCACTTAATGATTGCTATCGGGATGTGAAGAGACTTTCAACCAACATAACAAAAAAAATTTCTGAAGACAATCATCTATTGCACCTTTAAGTCAGTATAAAACAGGGGTTTTCAGTCATTTAAGACCTCAAATATGATCATCCTCGTATAAAGGGCCTCTTCCTAAAATTTAGAGGGCAGCTATCAGAGCTGGGTAGTAACTGATTACATGTAACCTGGATTACATAATCAGATTCCAAAAATTAAGTACTAGTAATTAGATTAAATTACATTTTAAAATACTCAGAATACAGTTACTTTTTTATTAATTACATGATTACATATTCACACAATAGCAATAAATAATTCATCATTTCTTGATTCCTCTTTTTCATCTTTTAAATGCTCCTTTCTAAAATTGCCTACCGCTTATATACACTCAGAAAGTCTTCCTGTATTGTGGACATTTACACAAAGACCAGTCATTAGTCAGGTGGCTACACAGCATTTGACCACTGGATTTACAAAAATCATTTCAGGTTTAAGAAGTGTTTCAACATTGCATCAACTGATCACATTAATTTTTATTTGAATTATCACTCAGTAGGTTATTTAATCATGTATTACTATGTCTTTGGAAGTTTTGTGTGTGTGTGTGTGTTTCAAACACATTAAAATGCACAAATTCACATTATTTCTTGTTTTGTTTTCGTTTTTTTAAAATAAGAGATTTTAAAATAAATATTTTAATATTTTCACGGTTGATGGTTAATGGTTAAATGACATGCGGTAAACAAATAAAAATTTGATTCTGTAGTAAGTGTTGGTTGATGGTATTTTTAAACTATTTATTTTAATTTGGCATTTTTTTATGATTTAATTAATTATTAGCTTTTCATTAAACTCACAAACCCCCTGCAGTTCTTTTACGAACCCCAGTTTGGGAAACCTTGATTTAATTATTTTCTTACTCTTTGTATTTTTATATCAATATGGTACAAGATTATCCTATTTAAATCAAACGAGTTAGGTCAAAAGTACTCTAAAAGTAATCAAAAAGTAGTTAGATTATATTACCAGAAATGTGTAATGTAATGGATTATGTTACTAACTACAATTTTTGTCATGTAATTTGTAATCAGTAAGGGACTACAATTTGTAGTAGTCTACCCAGCTCTGGCAGCTATATATTTCCACGTACAAACACCCCATTTATACTGTAAAAAAATATCATAAATGTGTAAAATAATGTATGGAAAACATTTCGTTTCTATTACGTTACATTATTACCTTTTACTACTCACAATAGTTCTGTTAGTTGTATTATTTATGTATTTAAAAAAAAACCTGCTCTAAAATGTCTTATTGTATTACACATAATTTACCACTAGATGGAGGTATTTACATAAGATGGTATTTGCATAGAACATTATTCCCTAATTGTGACCTAAATTACTTGTGTTTATTTGTAATCCTTCTTTTCTCAATTAGACAGCACAAAGATGAAGTCTCAGGTGACATACTAGACATGCTACTCACTTTCACTGACTTTATGGCCTTTAAAGAGATGTTCATTGATTACAGAGCAGTAAGTAAAAATCTGTTCTTTTTGTACTACAAAATATAGGATTCATAATGTAAAATAATGTGTATTTGGATTGTGTTACAGTTCAGAGGAAAGCTGTCCTGCCCAGTTCAAATGTAATTCTTGGCTATAATAAAAGAACTGAAATGTCATCACCTAAGATAAAACTTTGGCCTACTTTTCTACTATCATGAACAGAAGCTATAAACCTGCCATAGTCTGTGGGAGAAACTAATTTGCCCAATCTTCTTTTTATAGGAAAAGGAGGGTAGAGGATTGGACCTTAGTACCGGACTGGTGGTGAAGTCTTTAAATTCTGCTTCTGCTTCACCTCTGACCTCCAGCATGGCCTCACAATCGAACTGAACCAATGGGCATTTCATGTAAATGATCAGTCAACACATATGATTATTCCCATGTATATTTAGATGAATATTTATTGAAAATTCCTTTCTGACTCATCCCAAAACAAACAGACACTGTTATACTAACTTGACAGAAGGGAATCAGTGTTTAATTTAGGTTAATGTTTAAACGTAACATTCAGGTTAACTGTCAGCTTATCCGGTATGACTTCTCTTTAGCAGTATTCATATGATCTGTCACAAAATCCACTTAGTGTGGATCAGTCTTTCATATCTTGTTGGCCTACAGCGCAGCAAAAC